AAAAAAAAAAAAAAAAGAATATATTTGCAGAAAATATTTTAGGATTTATAGACCATAAAGCAAAATTGAGGATATTATGTAGGTTTTTATATAGCAAGCAGAAAATTTTCCCAGGGATATCAGAAGCTGAAAATTAAAAGGGAAATAGACTTCAAAGAATTATCTCACTCAAGTCACTAAACAAATAGAAAAAGGATGAAACAAGCAATAATGCAAATCAAGCAGGAGGAGAGGGTAGGAATCAGTGTCTAGATTTGTCTTCTTTAAATGGAAAAACTGCAGAACATATAATAAAATTGGAAAATTGTACTAAATCACAAGGGAAAAAGCAAGTAATAGAAACTAACTTTGAGGGGCCCCATGTATTGAACACAGTAAGCAAATACTTCAAAACAAGTATTTTAAATATGTTCAAATAACTAAAGAAAAGCATGTGTAAACAATTAAAAGGCAGCATTATAACAATGATTCATCAAATTGGCAATATTTAAAAAGAGAAATCTTCAAAAAGAAGAAAATTGAACCATATGAAGAAGTACAATAATTGAAATAAAACATTCATGAAATGACCTTAACAGTGAATTTGACCCAGATCAATAAACTTGAAGATACACTATTAGAAATTTTACAATCTGAAGAAACAAAAATAAAAATTGAATGTAGGAAAATGGACACAGACCTCAGATAAATTCAGAACACCAATAGCACATGAGCATACACATAATAGGAATACCAGAAGAAGAGAAGAAAGAGAAAGAAATAGAAAAATATGTTAATAAATAATGGCTGAAATTGCCAAGATTTGATTTTAAAAAACATTAATGTACACATCCAACAAGGTCAATGAACTCCAAATAGGATAAACTCAGAGATCCACCCACACATCATAGTCAAAATGTTGAAAGCCGAAGATAAAGAGAAAATATTAAAGAAGTAAGATAAAAATGACTCATTACATACAAGGGGACCATAATAAGATTACATCTGAGGTTTTATCAAAACAAAATGGAGGCCAGAGGCATTGTAACAATGTATTTAAAGAGCTGAAAGAAAAAATTGTCAATCCAGAATGTTATATCTAACAAAGCTATTTTTATTTTTTCTTCTTTTCCTTTTGACCAAACATAATGGAAGAAGCAAAGCTTCTTTTCAAAAATGAAGATGATGAAGGTGGGAACATTACTACTAATTTTACAGAAATAAAAAGAATTAGAATATGATGAACAATTGTACACCAATAAATTAGATAACCTAGATGAAATGGATAAATTCCTAGAAACACACAATGTACCAAGACTGAATGAATCTTGAAAAAATAAAAAATCTGAATAGACCTATAACTGGTATGGTGATTGAGTCTAACAAAAACTTCCCAACAAAGAAAAACTCTGCACCAGATGGCTTCACAGTTGAGTTCTATCAAACCAATCACCAATCTTACTCAAATTCTTGCAAATAGTTGAAGAGGATGGAACACTTCCAAACTCATTCTATGAGGCCAATACTACTCATTACTAAAGCAAGATAGACACCATACAAAAAGAAAACTACAGATGAATATCCCTTATGAATATTAATGCAAATGTCATCAATAAGACACTAGCAAACTGAATTCAGCAGCATATTAAAAGGACTACACACAATGATCAAGTAGGATCTATTCTCAAAAAGCAAGGAAAATTCAACATATGAAAATCAATCAATGTAATATGCCACATTAATATAATGAAGGGGGGAAATTACATGTTGATCTTTTCAAATGATGAAGAAAAGTATTTGACAAAATTCAACAAACTTTTTGTGATTAAAAAAGAACCCACTTAGTTAACTAGGAACAAAAGGAAATTTCTTTAACATGATAAAGGTCACATATGAAAAACCCACAGCTAATATCATACTCAAAGGTAAAAGACTGAAAGCTTTTCCCTTGAGAAGCAAAATAAGAATGCTTGCTTCCACAACTTCCACTCAGCATAGCATTAGAAATTCTTCCCAGAGCAATTAGGCAAGAAAAATAAATAAAAGGCACCCAAATTGGGAGCAAAGAAGCAAAATTATCTGTGTTTGCAGATGCCATGATCTTATAGGTAGGAAACTGAGACACTGCACACACAAAAATCATTAACACTAATAAAAAAAGTTCAGAGGATAGGATACAAAATCAACATGCAGGCTCAGCACCCGTAGCTCAGCAGCTAGGGCACCAGCCACATACACCGGAGCTGGCAGGTTCCAGCCCTGCCCGGGCCTGCTA